TTGAGCTATAGGCGCCGAGCCAAGAACCTTTTCTAACAGATCTTACGAGATTTCCTCTTTGCATGTACCTCTAAAAGCCCTGGACTACTCAGGTAATGGACTGTCCTATGGCTTTTCATTTGTTTATTTATTTATTTAGAGACAAGAGTCTCATTTTATTGTCCTCGGTAGAGTTCTGTGGCATCACAGCTCACGGCAACCTCTAACTCCCAGGCTTAGGTGATTCTCTTGCCTCAGCCTCCTGAGTAGCTGGGACTGCAGGCGCCCACCAGAATGCCCAGCTATTTTTTTGTTGCAGTTTGGCCGGGACTGGGTTTGAACCCGCCACCCTTGGTATATGGGGCTGGCACCCTACCTACTGAGCCACAGGTGCCACCCTCATCTGTTTATTTAGAGACAGGGTCTTGCTCTGTTACCCAGGCTGGAGTGCAGTAGTGTGGTCATAGATCACTGCAGCCCTGAACTTGAGAACTGCTCCAGTAATCCTCCCGCCTCAGCTTCCTGAGTAGCTGGGACCGCTGGGACCATAGGCACAGGTTATGAAGCCTGGCTCAGTTCTGTGGCACTGAACTGAGGAAAAAAGGCACTTGAGAAGACTCAGGTCCATAGGGGAGAGGAGTCTGTGGCCTCAGCCACCAGGTGGCATCACTGACCATTCTGGAAAAACAGTTTGTCCATCTGGGAAACCATATCCCTAGTGCTCCCGATACTCCCTAGCTTCGGCTCCAGTGTGATGGCCATCTGAACTGGAGGGTAGGGCGTCTGCAGGCATGCCTAGGCTTCCCAGCCCACCCTCCCCCCTACATCCCATGCATGTCCCCTGGTCTGCCCAGAAGAGCGCCTCATTCCTACCCCTGGGCCGCTCCTCTGAGCTACAGAGCAGTGCTGCTGGACAGGATGCACCAGGTTAGAGCAGAGTAGTACAGGGTAGATTTTCCCTAGCCCTGCCATAGTAAAAAGAAAATCCAAACACTTTTCTTACTTTTAATATCTAATAGTAAAAAAAAAAAACCCAACCCCTACACCTAAACAATCCATTTGCATGTTGGCGCATGCCTGGTTGCACACTCCCTCTCCGTGGTGTCCTTGGGCAGCTCTCTCAGGCCCTGGATCTGGGAGAGCCAGTGGCAGCAGAAAACCATCTTGGTCTCTAGCCCACCACCAGGACAGCCAAGGACCCAGCCTTTCAGAATGGCCACGAGGAACTGTTTTTAAAGCATGTAGTCATACTAGGAGGAAGTTTTCCCCTGAGGCTGAGCTGAGGGTTATTTCTTGTGGAGAAACTTCATTTTATTGCCTAAAAGAAAGAAAATGACAGCATTTCACTGGGCAGACAAAGATGAGGTAAATCTTGCCCTTTCCACCCTAGAGGTGATGTGGGTAACTGCGGACCCCCCTGCCACCCTGGGAGCCTCATCATTTGCTCTGGAGAAGTTTGGAGGGTTCTACTTTCCAGAGTAGGCCCCTTGGGGGGCTTCAAAAGGCTCTTCCTCAGACTTGAGGGGGTCTAAAAGGGAGAACATCAAAGCCGTTCTCTGGCCTCCTCTGGTGGAAGCCCTGAATGTAGCCCATCCCTAAGGAGCCAAGTGAGGACAAGGCCCTCTTCCAGGCACAGATTGGTACTCATGCCCTCTGTGTGCCTGTTCCCTTGCCCCTCTTTATTTGCTGTCTGCTCCATCTTCCCTTTCCCAGTATGGGCCTTTTTTTTTTTTTTTTTTT